GGGGGGGTGTTTGGTTTCTAGCCATCTAAAGAGAGGAGGAGAGGATAGCATGAAAGGATAGCATGACCGTCTTTGTTCAAACTTCGATACCTAACCAATTCATCACCATTTTATCGAACTGAATTTTGAAAAATATATTGCTTTTGATAATTTAAGTTATGATCCTTAATTTAACTAAGAAAAAACACTTTCTGTATCTATTATTATTATTGATAATGAAAGTTTATAAATGGATTATAATCATGTGAATTTTTTTCTATATTAGAGTTTTTCACTTAAATCTTGAGGTTGATTTATTGTAATTATTTGCTTAGTTTATTGATTGGTTGGTTTTATTTTTAATTGCACAAAAAGAAAAGGAAATGAAATTTATGGATCATTAATTTGGTTATTTTAGTTTTTTTTTCCATTATTTTTTTAATTAGTAACCTTTAAGGATTAAAGAGGTGTTTAAAAGTGTTTTTTAAAAGCATATTTGACTAAAAAAAATATCAAATTAATATTATTATTTTTTTAGTATTTTCTTATAGTTGAAACGTGCTGTTGTTGAAATTTAAAAAAAAATATAAAAAAAAATAATTTCAAATTCTAATTATAACCAGTGACATTCTTATCTTGTATATGATCATGACCAAGTGATATTCGAAGTTTGTCTATTTTCCCCTATGAACTTTCAAACTCTAGAAATGCATCTCTGCACCCCTGTATTTGTCCCATCTTTCCGTTGTGTTGTGCATGCTACTGAATCTATTTTAATATCTACTATAAGGAAACCTATCTTCAAAAATGCAAAATCTATGGAAGAAGATGAGAGAATGTACATCATTTAAATGCGAAAATCATTATAAAAAAAAGGAAAAAGGAACAGAATGGCTTCGAAAGTAGGGAGGCAAAGAATAAGGGCTAACGTGGAACCAGGGGTGCTTCAAGGCCGTATGCGTACTTGATGACATGGAGCATCTTGCTCTTGTCATTCCAACATGAAGACTCCAATATAAACTTGCAAAGGAGGGGAAATTTTCAAGAATAAGTGGGGGGAACCAAGAAGAAGAGGAGGAAAGAAACTCGCCCCTAACATCATATGGATACTACAAAAAATGGCAATTTCCTTAAAAATACAAAATGAGCAGCGTATATATTTTGTAATCAAGAATCCAATACAACTCGTGAAATCCGACAGTTACAATAGCATATGCAAGTAAAGAATGACAGATAAAATGCAAAACTGTCGAGGAAAATCTCTTAAAAGAGAGTTTCCAGAAAAAAAAAAATTACAGAAGATTGTCCCTGCAATGTGTATGGCATCACCTATTTACAAAAGCTGAAAGATAACCTAATCAAAATAAGAGGAGGCACAAAATAATGCAGCAAAGAAAAAAGATGGACACTCTATTTAGAGATTTATCAAGCTGCATTTCCTGCCTCCTCATCCTAGGACTGTTACTTCCCATGAGAGTATTTGTGTAAGGGTGAGCAAACATATTGGTGATCGACGTCCCAAAAATCCTTGTGAACACCATCTCATTGAACATCCCCAGCATTGGATTTAAAAAACCTGTCATCACGGTACCCCCAAGGTTTGAAGAGGTCAAGGCTGCATAACCTCCATGAGGATCATGGAAGTATTGTTGGTGTTGAAATGACTGAGGCTGTGGATTGAAAAAATTTGAATGAAGTTGCTGATTTTGTGGCGAAGTATTAGCATTCACTGTATTCAACTCAGAAGGGAGTGGCCTACGGGGTATGACTACATCCACTGGGTCTTTCTTGGATTTTGATTCAGATGTAGATGGGCCCCGGCCATATAGAGGGACCAATGAATTTGGAGAAATGTCAGCCTTGCAGACAGGGCAGCTCGGCTGCTGCTGACTAGCATCAGAGGAGGAGGTTTTAACATGGAGCCATTTGTAAATGCATGGCCAGCAATATAGATGACCACATAGGGTGACAACAGGGTCATGTGCAGAGTCTAAGCATATGTTGCATTCAAAATAGCCACTGTCATTGTCTGAGACTGCTGTTGGGACTGGGATCAATTTATGTTTCTGCTTAAGTCCAACATCTTCCTCAGATTCAAAATGTGCCTCATGATCAAAGAAGTGTTGTTCCATATCTGCAAGTTCCGCATTAAAAGCGAGGTTTCTTAGCATATCAATGATAATATTCAAAGAGAAACCATTGTGTGCATAAATTATGTGCGCGCGAGTGTGACAATGCACGAGAGACACAGAAACATATAGAAAAAACCATCTATCGGCAAATAACAAAAGAAAAACGAAATTTTCCAGGGAAAAAAAATAGCTGCTATATGAAATAGAGTTCAATTGCCAATAAATCTCCTTCCCAGAGACCAGATATTTAAAGTTTCAAACACGATAAATTAAGCATCCAAGTAAGCACAAACAAACAAGACCGGAGGTGCTGAAGTTCTAAACAGCAGAAGGTTAAAATCTTGAGGTTGACTACAAGAAGAAGACAAAGAACTGGCTTGGAATTAGTAAAATGAAGAGCAACATACAAAGATTCCTCAACCCATCAACGATATATGAGAAGAACAACACGATGGGTTACTACTATCAGTCTCCCAAACAAATAATGAGATCTAGAGGTTGATGACAAGAACGGCTGCAGAATAACTTATGCTAGAGTTCACCAATCTTACAAATCTAGCACCTTAATACTAGTAGGCCAGTTAGAGCTATCATAAGCTAACGTGCTCCCAAATTACATATTTCTAGTCTGAAAAAGAGAAAAGAAAAAAAAAAACACAATTGTTGGGTTTTTTTACAACAAACTGATTTCTAAATAATTGAGATTCTTTCACATTGAGAAGTGCCAAAAGGGCACTAACTAAATTGGTTTCAAAGAACTAGTTTTTCCCCCTCTTAACATATAAAATCAAGAAAATAACACAGATTTTCACACCCCAAAAGAACCCATCATCCTTTAAGACTTGAGATTAAGAAAAACATAGAAATTCATTAACCTTCTGTATCAGAAGAAAGCAAAATGCTTTAATGACTTTTGAGTCACGAGAAATCAAACAAAACTTTGAAGGAAACATACAAGTAATTCCAAGAAAAAACAATTAAACATCAACAGCTTGACAAATTGAATACAAATAGCAACACATATCAAACCCGATATATTTAAAACTTCTCTCACCATCCCAAAACACCCATGAAAAATAAACAACCTACAATTCAATCACGATTGAAAAAAAAAAATCAGAACCCATGCATTAAAATATACTCAGAATCCAATCAAGATCTAAATAGAAGAAAAGAAACAACCCCGCAATGTTTGTTGTATAAAAACTCGAAACAAGAAAACAAAACCCACGAAGAGAACAGAGAGAAGAAGATGATACCTCTTCAGAAAAAGCCGGATCAGAAGAAACAGAAAATAGGCTTTAAAACTTTAACACAGGAAGGCCGAATCTTTTTATTTTCTTGAGATGAGAGATGTGAAATTGTGGAGAGAGAGGAGGGAGAGGTTTGATGAAGGATCTCAAGGATAAATATAATTAATTAAAAAGAAGAGGGGGGAAAAATACAGTTGTGCCGTTCGTTTTGACAGGACCGTCTGTCTGTGGGTTGGGAGTACATAGATTTGCTACGTAGACCCGTACTTTTTTAGACCGCTTACATTTCACCACGTGTGCGTGCCTTATTTTACTAAGATTACAGTAATAAAATAAACTCTTTTCCTAGTTTGATTCCGTGGAATACGCTGCGGGGTGATTTTTTTTTTCTCTCGGGTGTTGTTAAAAAATAAATTTCGTAAAAAAAATTAACTATAAACTAAAAAATATTTATTTTCATTGAGTAAAATAAATTAAAAATTATATTAATAAATAAAAATAAAATTGTTAATTTTAATCAAATATTAAGTCAAGAAACTAAGATAAAAAATATATTTCTAAAAATAAACTTGTTAATTTTAATCAAAAATTAAGTCAAAAAACTAAGATAAAAAATATATTTCTAAAAAAAAAGGTTGAATATATATCTTAATTTAAAATTGAATTCTTAAAGTTTTAATTGATTTGAATTAATAAAATTAAATTTTATTTTATCTAATCAAAATAAAATATCAAACTCAATTTTAAATCAATTTAATATAAAAGAATTGTATTTTTTTTATTGCATTTCTATTTTATATATATTTCTTCTATCTTGTATTATTTCATATGCATATAATTCCAAAAATATCATTTATGGTTTACTAAGAGTTAATTTTACAAAATTAAACTGCAATCCTTAAATAAAAAGAAGCAAATAATCCAATAAAAAAAGGACACGAAAGAGAAAAATTGAAGGATGCAGTAAAAGAGAAGATGTAAATTTTTTTTACAAAAAAAAAAAAAACCTTGAGATGGTTTACTATTTATATAAACATTTTTTTTCACCCCTGTGTTTTTCTAATGTATAGTATAATTAGTTGCGAAACAAATGGCATTAAGGAACCTTTTTTTTTTTTAATAATATAGAGATACCTTGAGGGAAAAGTTGTTAACAAGTCCTAACTTGGATTAAAAAAATCTGCAGAATTAAAGATAAGTTTAATGACCATCTAGATCACATAAGTACATCTAGATATGCTGACTATATTCATCGTCGAATTGTATTTGACCTCTTCCACCATCTTGGCATGCGATGCACCCACCTCCCTGGAGACACCGGAACTCAGGCGACCGCCCACTGGATTACTAGCTCAAGGGAAAGCGCAGAAAATAATAACATTTTAATTTTTATTCAAAAAAATAATAAAAATAACTTTTTTGAAAATCAAATCGGGTTTTAGATTATCCATCCTTGAATGCAAATGCAAAGACAGGCCTATACATCCAACATAAAGAACTCCCTCACGCTCTCGATTTAGAATTATCCTTCTTTGAATCAATAGAAAGGTTTATTATTATTATTATTATATAAAAAAAACCCTCCTCACATGCATGTCTGCTGCATGTTTGACACTATCATAAAAAATAATAATAATAAGGTAAATTATCTTTGGTGCCCTATAAGGTCAAATGCACGAGATAGATAAATTATGTAATGCATTGCCATCAAGAGAGAAAATCATATCCTCGCACTGCCGACATGTCTTTAGGTAATTATAGATTGATTATTATTATTATTATTAATCCAGTGATGGCCCAAAACACGACCGAGCTGTAACGTTTTCTACAGAAATCATTCATGGAACCAAAATGTAGTTCAGTTTGGTATGTTTCCCATATTGTCTCTCTATCCAGTCTCATTTTGTATGTGTTTTGTTTTTTCTTAATTTTCACTGTTGCGGCTTAAAATTGTAGTGTGGTTTTAAAAAAACATTGTTTTAAAAAATATGTTTGGTAGAAAAAAAAAATATTCTTGTTCTTGAACAACCATTAGCTTCTACCTGATTCTTGATGAACAGGAGGACTTCAAGATGAAAAAGATTTGCCCATGCCAATAAGCTCCTGGCATGGTCTCAAAGGAAACCAACAAATGCTCTAGGACCAATAAAATATCAGATTCTAACTTGTGGCCTTTAGGTCTCACAGGAAACCAACAAATGCGCTAGGAAAAACACCAAATTCAAAGTGTGGCCATGAGAAAAAAGGATAATTCTGGAGTTGGAGGCCAATATCCATGCTTCAGGTAACCACCAACAAGCACTTCCAATCCTTCGTTCTCTCCAACCACAACCTGAAATACGTTTGTCTTCTCTAGGATTGGATATGCTTCAGAAATTCCCAGTGATGCTTTCCTCATGATTGAACCCCTCCAGCGCCTACACACTAAAAGGACCAGTATATTCCTGAATTCACATATAAGCACCTAATTTCTAGACAAAGGAGAAAAAAGGTCTAGTATTGTCATGGCAGAGTTTATACATGAACCCATGTTAGAAAATGTCAGGTGGCTACATTTTCATGCCCAATTCGGTATGACAGCACTTCCAAAAGAGTAGCTACAGTGATACACAATCCAAATCATGTGAAAAACAAATTGTCCCTCCATTCTCATTCACCTCACCACAGCACAGCGTAAAACAATTTCACATCGTGGTCGTAAAGAAAGACCCAAGGAAATCTGAAGACAGAGCACCTTGGAGACATGCTTCTACTATAAGGCACTAGTGCGTGCAGTAACCAGAATTCCTCAAAAGTTCAATTCATTTCATTCCAGATGGACAACAAATGGAAAAAAACTGGCTTCTAAATGAACCAACACTTCAGTACTATCCATCCAGGAACTATATAAAAGGAACAAAGTCTTCATCCAAAAGCTAATGAAAGCCATCCGAGTCTAAGCTATGAATTACACAAATTATAATGACACAATTGATAATTCACAGACCAGCATCAATTTCAGATACTAAAACTTGAAGTTTTGGCGTGGTTATACTAAAAAAAGCTACTCCCAGGATGCACATTATCCACCTTAGAGAAAGATACGGAGCTAAAGCCTCCAAACAAAGCCAACAAGTGGGAGCAACTGCGTAAGAGTGCAGCTACCAGGACACATTCCAAACTAAGATCTAAGCCCCACACCCTACTTCATTACCAAAACACAGAACATTTGACTGACGAGCAGTCACCCCTTGTAATAAATTAAAGAACAGAGATATCAATGCTTATCATATGACACAAGCATGTAATTTACATGTAATCACGCCTGCTTTATGATCCTCATCATGGATTACCAGTTGCCTAGTGTAGCATTAACACATGCTTTTTAATACAAACAATTGGACGCATCTGATATTTCATGAATAGTGTGTTAAATTGAAACACACTTGTTCTAAACTTGACTCACCCACAGATCAACTTAAGCCAACAAGCAGAGACCTAGGAAATAGGATGAGATAATTGATGTTCCATATAACAAGGCCAACTGAGAAACTCTGCTTAATTTCTCATATATTTTCTTCAAAGCATCCAAAGACCAAATATTCCCAACAATCAATATTAGCATTATGTAAAACTATAGACCGATTGGCCACACCACCACCAGCTCATCAAGATCTTTCGGCAAGCATTTCATTTTTAAATTCAGTATATAGTATCATAGGTTAGTTTTGAAATTTTCAGTTTCCTTGACAGTAGAAGACACAAGAACTCACACCAATCTCATACCATATATTTTTCTGTACGTGGATCATGTGAAATAATTAAAAAAAATCAATTTGGTCATCTTGATTTCCTTAGCTTAAGAAAATCAAACCAAATCAAAACTGAAATTTTAAAAATTTTAAAATTAACTGAAGTAGTCAAATAATCGAACCACATGAACCCAAATGCATCGTCAGTTTTCAGTTCCCAATGCATTTCGCACACAACAACCAAACTTCAGGAGGGATGAAAAGAAGGATAAGCCAATACTTCTCATATTAATCTACACTAACCAAGAACAAGCTACCAAACATGCATTCAGCTACGTAAGACAAGACACATATAGTTACTAATATTTTCTGAAGGTAACATAAAAATACAGCAGCATCTGGAGATGGAGCACTAGCAGCTAAATAGTTTATTGGCAGCAAGTGCTTGTTTCACTTACAAGAATTTATCAATAGTGGTGGTTAAGGTAGTTTTGGGAACAGCACCGATAATCGCCTCTTTCTTCTCACCATTTTTAAAGATGATAACAGTGGGAATGCTTCGAATCCCATATTGGGTTGCAATGGAAGGGCAATCATCAGTGTTAACTTTGTAACATTTGAGCTTACCAGTATATTGCCTGGCCAGTTCATCGATTATAGGGTGAATCATCCGGCACGGACCACACCATGGGGCCCAGAATTCAACTAGCACAGGGGATTCCGATTCAAGCACCACTGACTTCCATGTTGCATCCGTTACAGAAGCCACTGCAGTTCCATTTTCAATTCAATAATTTTAGTAACAAACCCTTGAATTATGACTTTTTCAATTTCTATATCTACAATTTTATTTATCCAAAAGAAAACTTTTTTTTGTTAAATTACAATTCCTTCCAAAACAAAGTCGAAAAAAGAAATCTACGATCCAGATGACCTTCGACAGCAGTCTCCTGCGCCTCACAAACAATCCTTCCACCACGAGAGAGTCTGGAACTGGTGAGAGTGACGAACGATCCAGAAGAGCGGTTTATAGTCGACGAATTAAAGGAGAGCTTGAGGCCTTTGACGTGGGGTAAACGAAGGGATCTCCGGTGAATAGATGAAGAAAAAGCGGAGAGAGTTGTAGTAGTAGTAGGCTTAGGTTTAGTGAAGGTGAGAGGAGGAACGGTGAGGGATTCAAGAAGAGCAGCCATGAGGAGAATCGGATTACTGGCTTTGGATTGGGTTTGCGGAGACAGAGAGAGATGGGGAATTGATGGTATTTGGAGTTTACCTGAGAAGTGGAATTACGCTTTTCTTTAATATTTGTTTTTAACCAGGATAGAACACATGTCAGGAAGGAAGGAAGGACTGTTCATTTCCGTAACTAGATTTGGGAATTAACGAGTGGACTCACTACCAGCTCACTTATCCAGATAAGCACATGTGCTACAGAAAAGTCCACTGCGTACGTACCATTTTAATCCGATTTCAACTATTAAAATCC